AATTTGATTTGATTAGACAATGTGTGGTTGATAAACAAGGATCGATTTTTTAACAAGGTACATAATGTCTTGTCAAATATTCAATAAGATTCCACACGATCTAGTTCGATTAACTTAGACTGTCGAGCTTAAACAATAAAGATTGGGTTGAGTTAAATTTTGTTGATTCGGGTCGGGTTTAAATTCGAGTTTCGTCATAACGTTATAATTCTGTCCAACTCTACTTTACTTTTAAGATTTTTATAAATAATTAAAGTTTTTGACGTTTATATTCGATGTAGTGATGAGTTGTGACTTATGAATCTTTAATGTTCGAGCTTCGTCATATTTTTATGGATAGGTGTTGATGCTTCAAAAATTGCTGCATCAAGAGGAAAAGGTGCATGAGATTTTAGATGGTCTTACTACACAACAAAATGCTTCACCACTTCCCATCTCAACAAACTTCCTTCCTCCCAAGGTACGATAAACGTACGGTTTAGAAATTTGAATCTTCTACTTTAAAAAAATATATAGAAATATTAATTGTCGTTTAAAATACGCTCATGCTGATGTATAATGTACCGTTTACATTAAACATTATCGTAAATTTAACGTGAAATTTGTAAAGTAATAAAATATAAAGAAAAGTACACATCGTTGGTATACATAGTAACTTTCATTTTCTTTAAGTCTTTTTTAATCATCATATTCTCAAAATTGCTCTCAGTTGGACGTGTGATTCGAGGTTGAGGATCGGGAATATAATCTCTATTCCTAGCTAACGAAAAAACCTCTTCTCAGTCCTTGTCCCATTTTTCACCCATTCGAGATTAGTCCTCGTAGGTTAAAGGCACATAAACCTTTGATCAATCTAGATATTAATTAATAATTATAGTAATAATTAATTAATTTACCGTTGGCCTTTAGTCAATAGAATACTCTCTCCGTTAGTATGAGGTCTTTTTGGGAAGCATAAAGTAAAGCCACGAGAACTTATGCTCAAAGTGGACAGCATCATACCATTGTGGAGAGTCGTGTTCATCTAACGTGGTATTATAGTCATGCCCTAAACTTAGTCGTGCCACAAAGCACAGCCCACTCAAAGTGGTCAAAGTGAACAATATCATACCATTGTAGAGAGTTGTGTTCATCTAACAAATATGATAGAGTATTTTTTTTTTACTTTTCTAAAAAAAAATAATAATAAATAAATATTATGAATATTTTTTTTTTTTTCATATTAGTTTTTTATAATTTGTACTATATTTATTACATTATTATATTTTTTTCCTTAAAAAAGGTTCTTGACCAATTATTTCCTTCCTTTATTATTATTATTATTTTAAAAAACTTGGTCAAACTTCTTAAAATATTTAATAATGAAAGATATATATTATTAGTAAATAATTCAACTACTTTTTTTTTAATGTATTATAAACAAAATAGAATATAATTAAACATTATAATATTTAATGTGATGTCAGATGATATTTAATGTGGGGTATTCTGACATGGTCCTGTCTTTTTTTTTTTATATAGATTTAATTTGAAATAAAATTAGCATTAATGATTTAAAATTTTGAAAAAAAAAAACACTTGATAGTTGAAAGGACATGTTTCATAGTTCTGTTACAACTTCTGCTTTGTCTCCCTCTTTAAGGACCACATGATGTGATCCCAACAAGTGGATTCCTAAAACAACTTTTCTTTGATCTTGTTTGAACGTTCGGGTTGTAAGTGTAATAGAAATTCTCCCGTTCTTCGACTGAAATGTTGATAAGATATGTGTTAGTTCCGACATTTAAAGCCAATGACTGTATCAATTAATTGAATGGGAATTGAGTTGGTGAGTGAAATTGAACTCACGGCCCTATATGCCAGAGGTACATTATGTCGTTGCTGCGTGTTGATGTGAGTTGATATTTGAACTGTTCGAGCTGTTCGGGCTGACATGCAATGCAGGTGAAGGAGCTGTTGGCAGAGCTAGCGATGGTGGAGAGTGAAATAGGAAGGCTTGAAATTCAAATCACCGAGCTTCAAAAGGACTTGAAAAGTGAGAAACAACGAGCCACACGGTCCAAACCGTGGAGCTCTGAGCAGCCAGCTCAAGCCAATAACGCACCCTACAAACCACCATTGAATTGGAACCCAATTAGCAAGCCAACTTTTGACACCAAGGGTCTTCACTTCATTAGCAAAGCCATCAAGGGAGATTATGCACTCAATCCCTTTAGATTGGATGCCAAAAATGAAGATCTTAGAGATAAGAAGTCGACTCATCTTCCGTTCGAGGAGCTTAAACTCCAAGAACGAGTTCCTAGAAAGAGTGGCCTTCTCGTCCCTCCGTCCCCGTTACGAGAACCCCAACATCCTTCTCCAAAGGTACCTTGTATTTCGTTCCATTTGGTTCTTGAGGTTTCTGCAATTTTGTGACATGTAACAGCACACTTGAATTCATTTTTTCTCAGCGACGGGAGCGAAGTCCATTACACATGCCACCCCAAAAATATGTGTCGATGCCAATTCAGTTAGAAGAAAACATTCAAAATTGGCACCCGAACAAGTTATCAGAGAGCATCATAAAGTGCTTAAACTTCATATATGTGAGATTGCTAAGAACCTCAAGAACAATGGAGCTAGAGAAGTCAGGTCCCATTTCGAGGTCATTGCATTCTTCTTTGAGCTCGAGAAGCTTCCGAGTCGAGAATGGCTTAAACTCAGGTCTTTCACTACATAAGGAATTGAGACAACAAGATCCTTACAGCATCTTCGAAAACGAAGAGTCAATTCCAAGGGATATTGGTCCTTACAAAAACTTAGTCATATTCACATCAACTTCCATGGATCCAAAATCCATAGCGAGTGCTACATTCATCCCTCTCATAACCAAGTTAAGGTACTTTTAAACGACCTTTAAGCTCCATGAAGCTAGTCTTCATCGTGTTCTAATCTTTGCCACTATGGACTCTTGGTGAATACAGGGTTCTGATGAGCAATTTACAAACCGTCGATCTAAAGCCATTGAATTACCAACAAAAGCTGGCGTTTTGGATCAACATGTACAATGCTTGTATCATGAATGTAAAGCGTGGATAAAAATATCATTCTTTTAACTTCAATTTCCATTAAGACGTTTCTTACCAAATTTTGTTCGTTTCAGGGGTTCCTCCACTACGGAGTGCCTTCTTCTCCAGAAAAACTAGCCGCTTTGTTGAATAAGGCAAGTAAAAGCTATAAATTCAACCTTTTTCTTATATCATAACCTATAAGTCGATCGTTCATTTAAGTTCTTATCATTCATGTTTTGATAAGACAGAATCATTATTAATTACGTCAAAATGTCTAACGAACGTTCTTCTGAACATAACTGTCAAAATATTTGTTTGGTTTGTTTTGATTAAACAACCTTATTCTAACCAAAAACTTAAATCATGTTTTGGATTTAGGCAATGATTAACATTGGAGGCAACACCATAAACGCACAGGCCATAGAACATTTCATTCTAAGGAAACCATTCTCGATGAACAATGAGGTAATTATCCACACTATAATTTAATTTTTCATTTAAAAAAAATCAATATTATATATAAAACTAAGTTGACTCTAGTTAATGGGTCAAAGAACACAATATCGGTTAAAACAGTCAACGAGACAGAATGATAGTCAAATCCATTGACTTTTCAAACATTGCAAACAAGGATAACAACAAAGAAGCCGTTGTCCGGAAGTTGTACGGCCTGGAATCATCGGACCCAAACGTGACATTCGCCCTCTGTTGTGGGACCCGGTCTTCACCGGCGGTGCGAATATACAGCGGCGAGGCGGTAACGGCGGAGCTCGAGAGGTCAAAGCTAGAATATCTGCAGGCGTCGATAGTGGTCACCAGCTCCAGAAGGGTCGCCGTGCCAGAGCTTCTAGTTCGAAGCTTGCCAGAATTTACGGCAGCAACGGCGGCGGCGGACATGAAGGCGGTGGTGGAATGGGTGTGCAACCAGCTGCCGACGTCGGGGAGTTTGAGGAAATCGATGGTGGAGTGCTTCAGAGGACATTCCAAAACGCCGCCCACGGTGGAGACGCTGCCGTATGATTTCGAATTTCAGTATCTTTTGCCGTCGTGAATTCAATTCTTGTAAAAATGGTAGATGATGAGGTGTGCCGTTCATAATTATTTCCTAAATTTCAAATAAAAACATATAAGATCTCAATTTGTTCGGGAACATATATACACTTAGATTTGAATTTCTTGTGACATAGTCACGTTATCTGTTATAGACACTAATACACGTTTTTTTAGTATGTTTTGTTTTCAGTAACATGATGTGACATCTCACACTTATTAGAGAGGAGAATGAGTGTCATCAAGGACACTTGACCTCGATTGAGTTGAATTGTGAGATCCCACGTTAATTGAAGAGGAGAACGAATAATTTTTTATAATGGTGTGGAAACCTCTCCTAGAAGACACGTTTTAAAATTTTTGAGGGAAATCCCGAAAGAAAAAGTTCAAATAGAACAGTATTTGCTAGCGGTGGGCTTGAGCTGTTACACATGCATTCCAAAAAAAACATTAAATTGCTCTCAATCGAATATGGTCTTAGTTCACTCATGTACCCCTTTTTTACTCGGGTGTTGCTATTATTTTTAAAATTTGATAAATGTTTCAAAACTACTGCTGAGTTGACATTTGGGTGATGAAAATTAAAAAAAAATTAATATAAAATAAAAAAGAGAAACAAAATCCAAATAAATAAAAAAAAGAAATCTAAACAAAATTTTTATTGATTAGCGTGAAACTAAAAAAAGCAAAAATTAAAATTTTAATTGAGAATCGTGGCCGCGCGTGAGAAAGAGGCGCGTGGGAAATCTTAACTTTCACGAATTACGAGTCAGAATGACTCGTGAAGGACCGGATCGTTAAGGCGGCAAATGGCGATGACTTGTCGCCTACCTCTTCCGGACTCCACTCTCCACATTTCAATCCAATTTTTTTCAAACCCATTTCAAATCCGTCACCTAAAAGTTCACCGCTCTGTTCACTTGCTTCGTTCCTCACTCCTTTTTCCCTCTTCTGCTGCTTCGTCTTCTCCGTTCGTCACCCTTTTTCCTCATCTCCTCGCTTTCCTTTCCATTTTTCTTTCTGGGTCTCTACAATTTCCTCTCTCAGGCATTGCAATGTGTTTGATTTGTACCTCTGTTCTGTGAATTTTTTTAGCCTTTTCTGCTCCGGACGTTGATTTCTAGCTTTGGGTGTTTCAGAATTTGAGCTGTGGTACTTCCCTTTTGAGCTATGCTTCCTTTCCCCTTTTCCCCTTTTGTCGGGTTTCTAATTTTTTGTGGTTTTGTTGTTTTTTATGCTTGTTTTCTGTGTTTTTGCGTTTTTTGGTTGTTGGGTGCTTGTCTTCTTTACCTAACTCTCGATGAATTCGTAATAGTTGTTTACTTGGTCTGATGGGTCAGTGCTAGTTTGAGCTATGGCTGCATGGAGTTTTTTCAATGGTTTTGTGTCTTGCTCTTACTGTTGGTGTGCCTGAGGTCCACCTGGGTTTGATTTTGATGAGGATCGGAGTGATTATGTTTGGTTCTTAATTCCGTTGCATCTGCTTAATCTGTCGTTTTTTGTGCAAATTGAGCGTTCTATTAGACAGGGAATTGCAATTGTTTCTCTCTTTCTCCGTCTCTGTTTCTTTGTTATGCCATTCCAATTACATTGCAAACTTAAAACATGTGTTTTGTTCTTCAATTACAGGCACACCTTTTGTTTGAAGGAGAGGCTCTGCTTGTATCCACGACGTGATGAATGCAGCGTCGAAGGAAACGATGATGACTTCCAATCAGGCTACGAAAATGTTTACTTATGAGTTTCCTGATGTATGCATGATTTTCAATCCAGTAGATAGTTCATAGTTCATAATTGTTACAATTGTGTTGGTTATTTTTCTTTAATGTTCTTACAATTGTGTTGGTTATCGTTCTAGTTTGCTATCGAATTGATTATGTCTACATGTGGGATCATTATGGAAGGGGGAAATTTGTTTACAATGATGTTATGCTTTGGAAAGTGTATACCCTATTGCTCCCCTTTCCCCTTAGAGATACTGCAACATTACACCGATCTAGTTTAGCTTGAACTCGTGAATCTACACTTGGACATAGCATTTTCTTTTCCTTCAATACTTGTCATAACGTTGATGAAAAGGAGATGCATCATGCATGATAAAGTTATGGAGAAAATATTATCCAGACGTAATCATGGTTAGCGAAGGTTGAAGTTGAACACGATAATTTGATAGGAAAGTCTTATGGACTTGATGGGGGCTTTCTCGATATTGACATAAATTTACTTTTCGATCTTTTGTCTTTTTGTAATGTTATTTTTCCCCTGGGAAGTTGATAGTTCTGATTCCTCTTTTTTCCTTCTAGGTCGACTCGGATTTATCTATCTTCCCTGCCCCGGAAGATGATGTCTTAGGGGTGGAACATTTCTTGCAACCGGACTATAACAAATGCTTTCCTGGCAGTGTCCTTGATTTCAACACGTTCCACTCTCATAAGTGCTTAAGCATTGAAAATTTTTCATTTGCTGTTGAATTTGATCAAATAAAGATCGATAGTGGTAATTATCTCATTGATCTATGCGTTTGTCTGTCTGGATTCACTTTTAATACTTACCGACATTTGCATTGATACCGTGTTTTATCACTTGTTGGGGATTTCAACTTCCTATTCATTCTATTTGTGATAATTGCGTTTGTTTCGCTTGAGAAATTTTTATTCTTTCCTCTCTTGTTCACGATTTTTTTCCTTTTACCCTCCTGGGTTGGCTAGTTTAAATCTTAAGATCGCCTTCAACTAAATGTTGTAGGTCTCTTCGATATCCATGGTTCTTACTATCTGCCGTTTTTTCAGAATTAACCAGAAATTACTGTTTCCCTTCTTTCCGTACTAAATATCGTCGTCGTTTGTGCGTCATGCCTTCACTTATTCTCTACTAATGAATATCAATTCGTTATCGCAGAATCATTACATTCTAGCCTCACACTAGAAGGAGAGAGAACCAAGCAAGAGGTATGATCTAAGTGCCAAGTATTTTAATTCCGTGTTCTTTTCATGATTTCGTTCTTCAATATTGTTTAGAGGTATATCAGTCCATCACTTTGATCACTGTTCCATCGTTTATGGGAAAACGTATCAGCTCCTTCCTGCCACCCGCATTAACTGTAGTAATAACGTTAATGTTTTTCATCAAGCGCAGATTGTGTATTCTTGACGTTGTTCAATTATTGGTGACTTTTCTGATTTTACAGGATTAGCTATCCGTCGGGTCATTATTTTGAAAATATAACTTCTGTAGTAGACGGTCTTCGATTTTTTTGCATGAGTATTAATTCTTTATGAGCCCACGTCTTTCGGTACCTAGTTTAGAAATAAAATTTGATTCGATTATAGAAGACTAGGAAGAATCAAGGTCCCAAGAAATTGATTGCAAGTTTGCGTGCGACTTTTCCATGACGATAATGGAAGAGAACTGCGCGGTTAGTGTGCTGAAGCCAAGGAATTCGGATCTGTTTACTTGGATTGTGAATTATGTTAGATAAAGCCTTATATCACTAGAACCAAGCAAAATTATCGAAGGAAACTGTGATGTATTTGAGTATCGATTCGATAGAATACCATTGATTGCGCATATCAGCCTGTTCTGGATCATTGACATTTTGCTTTAAATGGAAAATCCAACTAGAGGATTGACCTTTTGCTTCACTAATTTCCTTGTTTTGACATCATTATGGTCATTCATGTGGCCAGCTAAGAGTCGATGCTACCGGAGATTGAACCTGTCTGTGGCATCTACTCGATCGTTTTCTTCTTCTTTTTTTAACAAGACACCATTTGAAAATAGTTCTGTACTTCTAGGTCCGTGATGAAAAATCGAAAGGAACTGACGATGTTGCGTGTTCTGGGATCAACAAACTTTCGGGAACTGGTGAGAATCTCTCTAACTTGGCTTGGAACGGAGTTATTTTGGAATTTTTACGCTATTTTGATCACAACCCTTCTTCTTTCCATTGTTCAGTGAACCGTCAAACCACGGATGATATCTTCAATTTAGCTCCCGGTTCATGCAATGCTTCTTTTCTAGGCAATGTGGATTTTGGTTACCCACAAGGTTTTTGTTCAACAGATCTTGGTGTTGATTTGTCTTTTGCTGGAGGTCTGGGGCCAAAACCTCTATGTGACTGGAATTCTCCTTTCATAAGAGACATTCAGCTTAAAAATAGTTTGTCAGTTGCAGGGCATAATGTCGGTTTTGATCAAAAGGACGCCAAACTTATGATCTCATCGAGCACTGGGTCGTCAGGATGTTCAGGTAGCTCTACTGCGTGCTTGAACGACGAGAATATGTCAGACGACAGGCCTGTGAAAAGGAAGAGGCTTTCAAGCTGCGACTCCTCGAAAATAAATTCTGAGCATATCGAATCTAAAATCGTTCCTTTTAATGAAGGAAACAAAGTCGAAACACTCGTTACAGAAAAGAGATTGCGAAAGCCTCCTAGGAGATACAGTGAAGAGTCGATTGAACAAAAATCGAGATCTAATTTCAAGAAAAGCGCTCTGAAAGCTTCCAAGGATAAATCTCTCCCCTCCGTGTGTCACAGGCATCAATGGCAAAAGAAACTTAAAGCAGCACCAATCGTTCCCAAGGATAAATCATTCAACGGAGGTTGTATTCAGGTTCCGTTCGGTCTTCCAATCGAAGAAGGTCACTCGACAAAGAAGAGAATATGTTGGGTAAGAACGATGCCGTTTTGTAAATCGAGAAGCTATTCTTAATCTTCGTTGTACTTTCTATTTAACTCGCTATCATATCCTAATCAGGAGCCGGAGGAGATCAAGGACAATAGGATCCTATGCATAAAAGATAAAAACGACGTGGAGTCTTTCTCAGCCGAGTCCGAAGATGAGAATACTGAAGACGAGTGCGTCACGAAAGGTAATACTACTCAAAAAGGCAACAGTCGTAGGAAGCATCACATATCATGGACTCTTTCCGAGGTTATGAAGTTGGTAGAAGGCGTTTCAAAGTACGGAGTCGGAAGGTGGACAGAAATAAAAAGGCTTCAGTTTTCATCATCTTCACATAGAACGTCGGTCGATCTCAAGGTAAAACCAATTTCCGTTTACTTTCAACTAGTTTCGAACTACTCGTTCATCGTTAATCAGTAGAATTACAACGTCTTTTGTATCGATTTCAGGATAAATGGAGAAATCTATTAAAGGCAAGTGACACCCAGTTACAAAACAGAAGAAAGGTTGGATTTTGTTCCTTGTTCTTTACAAATTTTGATGCTTTTGAATCTGTGTTATGCTGAAATCTTCTATCCGGGCAGGTTGTTCTTGGTCGAAAGCAAGCATTGCAGCAAGTACCGGAGTCTGTTCTATGTCGTGTTCGGGAATTGGCAGCCATTTATCCATACCCAAGGGAAAACAAATCGAAGGAAACATGCTCGGCCCCGACAACATCGTCCTTCAAATCTAGTACCAGTAACATGCTTGTATGTTTGCCCACAGTTATGTGATTGAATTTCTAGTTATATTAGGAAGGTAGGAATGTGAAATCTTGGTTACCCACTGACTTGTTTGGCATACACCATTGTGCTTTGGTATTGAACCCAAATATTTTCCTTGTTCATGTACTGTTCATTGTCTTTCCATCTCTGCAACCCAGAAAAGAGCTGAAAATGGAGGCTGTGAGACAAGATGTAGGTGTGTGGGTATGCGTTTTTCGATGTCTTCGACTATATAAGCTCTAGGAGGTGTATTGTACTAACCATATTGTAAAGCAAAAGGATACTACTTACTCGGTTTTAAACGTGGTCTTGCGAAGTCTTAGCCCGACCTTACGTACTCACAACGGTCGAAAGAAATTGATTGTCTTTAACTTATGCTCGAAAGGGCTTTTCGTGTGCTATGGGTTCTTTAACTTGTGCTTGAAGAGGAGTCTATTTGGCCATCTAGACCGTGATTTGCTTCGATCGAATAAGAGACGTACATAACACTAATGCATTTGAGCGTTGATCGAATATCGGTGACACTCATTGTGCTAGACACGAGGAAAAGTTCCTCTTCTTTCTTAATAAGAGAACAACTCTCGCGGGAAGAGATACGTGAGTAAGTTCATCCTCTTCTCTAAAGAGAGATAACGGTACGAGAAAACAACATGAAAAATAAGAGAAACGAGCGAAGGTTCGTGTTCGTTAGAAAAAAACCTACTTATATAAATAAATTTTAGACAAGAAAAAATTACATAGTTAGGAAAATATAATTAGAATTAATAAATTAATCTTAAAAAAATTCAAAAAAAAAAAAAAGAAAAAGGGTAAAATAGGAATTACGTAAGAAATGAAGGGCATAAAAGGAATATAAACTTTTTTTACGAACTTGTGGGCCGGCCCATATGTCCTTCTAAATTTAAATGTCCCTCCCAAGTGCCCCACAAATGTAGGGGTCCCTACTTCATGTTTGCTTTTTAAATTTCTTTATTTGGTTTCTTCAAACATATGAAGGGTCATGTGATTGCCTTATATTCTTTATTTTATTTTTCCAATCAATTATATATATATATATATATATATATATATATATATATATATATATATATATATATATATATAGATTGGAATAAAAAGGGTCGTTCGAGCAATCCTTACCGTTCCTAACATAAAAGATTCGATCTAGCCCAGATAACCATTGGGAGGAGCTACCCTAGTGCACAACACCGACACATATAATCTAGCTAAAGAAACAGTGAAGAACAAATGATCACTAGACTAAGCTACATCGAAACATAATACACTAGTCATAGGAATAGAGAGAATCTCATATGAGTAGCCGATCATAGGTATATAATTTATCTCGAATTTCTAATTAAGTAATAAAGAGGTGCTTACAGATATTACCCACAAAGCCTATACCGAGTATCTAAGGTCGATGATGACTCAAAAAACCCTATCATCGCTACGATGAATTAAGATCTATCGAGTAACAAAAATAAAAATTGAGATAAAGACATGAATATAATTGGTAGCATCATCGATAACCCTATCGCTATACCGTAAAAATGATGGAAATTTTCATGCCCCACATTTCTTAGGAGGGTTATTTTGGTCAATTGGTAGAAAAGAAAAATACATAAGTAATGGCAGTTGAGTAATTAAAGTGAAAATGAGGGGTAAATAAAAGGTGAAAGGGACATCCATGAATAAGGCCCCAAGAGCATTAGGAGTTGATATAGGGTGTGGATGTAGGTCGGGTTCTGTAGTGACGTGATGTGATTACGTCATCTTTCCAGGGCTGACGTCATCCTTGATTGTTCTTTTTGCTCTTTTTTTTTTTTTTTTTTCTTCTCATTATTATTAATTATTTTACATTTATACTTTAATTAGTGAATTTTAAAAAATAATTTATTTATTTTGGTTTTTCTTTTAATTTCTGAATTTTTTAAAAATAAAATTCCACTTTATGCTTGTGATGTGATGTTATAAAAAAAACCTTATTTTGTACTAATATTTGAAAAGAAATATATTAAAAAAAAGGTAATAAAGTTCTAGAAAATAAACCATAGTTTATTCTTCAACCATTTTTGGCAATAATTGTTTCACTTACGTGCACTCGTTCGAATAACCTAATCGATAAAATTTGGGTCCGAAAATAAATGAAAATTTTATGAACCGAATCGTTTCATAAATTTTTCTAACATAAAACTGAGTCAAACCGAACCAACGTGAATTTATTATTAATTTTAAAATATATATTTTAGTTACGAAGAAAAAAAAAGATAGAGTGTGAATTGAATAATTATAGGTGGGGGAGAAGGTGTTTGGAGGGTTTGTCAAGTTGGTAGCTGCCTTGCATTTATATCAACAAAAATCAGACAACCAAATCCCATTTGGATTGCTTCTTCAAAATTTTCGTTTATTTCCCAGCTATTCAAGACGCGTTTGAATCAGAGCTCTCCTGAAGATAGGGATGAACAATAAGTTACTACTTATACCAACAACGTATATCTTTCGATTGTTCAATCATAACTGTTAGATGAACACGACTTTCCCCAATAGTATGATATTGTCCACTTTGAGTATAGACTCTCGTGTCTTTCCTTTGGACTTCCCAAAATGTCTGGTAACAATGGAGAGAGTATTCTTTGATTATAAACCCATGATCATTCCCTAACAACTTTATGGTTAATCATGCTTTACTTTTGTTAGTAATTTTCTTAGGATGCATGTGAACTAAGACAAAAATGTTGGAATGACTCGTATTGGTCTGTACTCTTAGAAGTGAGGAGTGAGTAACGTGATCATGTTATAAATGATGCAAAGAATGTTGGAGGGCATCAAATGCCAAATTTGCTCGAGAAGTTATATTGGTTTTAGTTTAAAAACAAAAATAGTTTTTATAAACTTTTTAAAAATTAGTTTTTTTTTTTTCAAAATTTGGCTTTATTTATGAAAATTATGGAATAATTTAGTTTGGTTTTATATTTAAAAAAAATAACATAGATAAAATATTGTATTTATAAGCTTAAAGAAATTTAAAATAGATAATTAATGATTATTTAAAATATTTACCTTCACCAATATTCCATCTATAAAAATAAAATATAAATAAAGAACAAATTATATATAATAATAATGGTGGTTAGAAAAGTCAGGCGATCTTATTGGTTTGTGGTCAACGAGGAATTAAAAGTTTTTTTGAGAACCAAACTTCCATTCTGCCTTTGATGAGGTGGTAACGTTGCATTTGTAGACGTTACGCGAATGTGGGGGACGATTAAAATCACTGCATCAGATGCTCGCCACGTGGCCCTCTATTTATCCAAAAAAAAAAAACTATTTTTTTTTTCTTTTTTCTCTTTTTGGTGGGCGTCTGGTAGAAAGAAGAATCCCAAGACCACGTGGGTGACCCAGGTAGAACTGACAGTACTGTGACAGCCCCAAATTACATAGCGCCTCCCGACTCTGATTGGACTGTCACCCAGCACGGCTCAAATGTCTATGCCCGTTATTTTACACAATTGTCACCAACCGTCTGATCTTAATCTAATGGTCTGTGATCAACGCTGTTGTGGGACCACCTCTTGGTTTTATCCCATTGGCATTTTTGTGAGCTGATCTATAGATACTTCGTCCTTGACCGTTGGATTGACACTCGACTTGTACTTTCTCTTACTATTTCATCTTCTTTTTTTAATAAATAATAAAATAAAAAGTTAATTTTATTTTTAAAATATATTATTTATAGAAATTTATCATATATTAAAAAAAAAAAAAAAAACGACAAGTTGGGTTAGCTAATCAGTTCTTTTAAGCATTTTCGCCCTAAAATTCTCTGTCTACACGTTTTCAAAAATTCTCTTATTTCAACGTAGGGTCGTTTCATTTATCTGTATTTCTTCTTAGGTGCTTGCCAACAACCGCTCCTTATCTTGAGAGATTCTCGTGTACTTTGATGCCATCTATGATCAGAGCATTGGATTCAATGGTTCTAATCCACGACCAATGAACTCATCGCTTTACTCCGTTCTTTTTATTTTGTGGGCTCGAGTCGATAATGTTATGGTATATATAGAAACGAGACTATCAATAAAAAAATTATTTTTTTGTTGGAAAAATTATTATGTTCGAGAGAAAAGTTTTAAGCTTTGGTTGATATTATCGACGTTGTTGGTACCGAACCTCTTTATAATTACTCCGCAAAGTTCTCCCATGGTGGTGAGTTGAGATGACAAGATCTTGTGTGCCAAAGTGATGGATCAAAGGGTGGCCTTCAATGGGGTAAGAAGGAAGACATGTCCTTCAATGATCGATAAGGAAGCCTTTACGAGCAAGCCCATGGTCCCATAACTAAAAGACGGCATATGGTTCGATAACAACGAGCTCGGAGGTGATATTTACTATAACAAGTTGACAACTTGATTGTTAGAAGCGATTAGTGAACCGTGATGCTTTTTGAAGAACCTTCTCATGAACAAAGTGATAACCAATCTTTATTTGCGTTGTTCGTGTATGAAATAAGATTGCTAGCCAATGAAAGAGTAGAAATGTTGTCACGCTGTAAGACAGAGGTGCCTGGTAAGAAAACTCGAAGATCACAAAGCAAATTTACAGTAGCAATAAAGTCAGACGTACTCTCCCACACCGACCTCGACAACAAACCCTAGTTTGAATTTTATAAATAATAATAAAAAAAAAAGCGACTCGAGCTTCATCGTAAAAGCGAGCTCAAATTGCTAAATTCTTCCCAACCGTGTCATTTTCTCTCAATCTTAGGGCCGTTGGATCGAGTATCTGTTTAGACATAAGCTCGAAAGAGGTATTAGAACCTCAATTATTTAGGAAATTTTAATAAAAATTATAATTTTTAAAAATAATTTAATAAGAAAAAATAATCCAAAACTTGCACATCGAAAATGGCATTTTGGTAAATACTCGGATATCGCAGTGGCATTTATTGTAACCGGCAGGCGACTATGCTGTGGACCGACACAGCAAATTTTTGGGCGGATGTATACGTATACTCATCGTCATGTAAATAAATATAATATTTTTTTAATCCTGCCGTTAAATATAACGGCTAATTCAACACTTTTTGGAACGTCTCTAGAAAACAGTTACCCGCGCTCTTACCGTTAAAAGCTTGACGGCGAGATTTCTGCTTTTTCACAATCATTGTTCTTCAAAACCTCTCTCCACCAGTCCCTATTTGTCCCCCTAAGTCCCCCGCCGGAATTCCTCACCGGGCGCTTCCCGCCACCGTCATCTCCGCCGCCAGAACGCCTTAATTTCTCTCTTGAACTAACTTTTGTAA